ACGAACCGCCGCGGACCACCAAACCCTGAAGAGATAGAGGAGGTCAATGGCGGGGCCAAGAAGGATGCCGAGCAGAAGCCCAAAGAGGACTGAAGGCCAGTGCAAGGAGTCCGGGAAATCGAGCACCGGACAAGTCAATGGGAAAGAAGCCGGCTGATCAAGAGCTCCGGGGAGAAAATCCTCTGCAGCCCGAAGGAACAAGGATGCAAGGGAGCCTCCCAGAAGAGAGGCCTGAACAGGTCTAAGGGCCATCAAAGCTTGACCCGAAAACTACAAAGATTTGCTCAGAAAGCATGAGAAGGTCAGCAAAAGCACTTGAGTTCTCTCTGCAAAAGGCCGCCGGTCTCGGGGCAGCAGTTGGAAGCCAAAAAGGACGATGAGAGCTTCAGCTGCAGCAACAGGAGGGATCCATTGAAAACCTCGCTCGGTCCTCCACAGAGCCGTGTTGAAGGCCTGCGCCACATAGAAGGTAAGACATGCAGCGAAGATGCTGCGGCTCCAGTTGGAGGCGTTTCCCAAAGACCCGGCATGTGACGTGGCCTTTCGCAACTCTGGAGTCGACAAGTTCATGCGCAGAAGCACCTGCACGGCCTCGTCCACAGCCTTCTCGGAGCCGCTTCGCTCGATAAGGCCGCGTATCCGCAAGCCATCGAGGGGGTTCCTTCACGGGCCGGCACACTCATCAAAGAGGCTCAAGTGTTCACGTTCTGTCGCCTACGTGTGCGTCTGTGTGCGTGTGCGCGTGCGTGTGCGGGCATGTGTGCGGGGCTGCTTAACACTGACACCTCACCAGCAACGAGCATTAACTAATGCCTAGGCGCGTCGTGGTGGCATCTCGAATCTTCCCAGTGAAGCCTTGTCTCAGCTGCCTGGCTTGTTTCGCAGCTTCGATGCCAAGCAGACGATCGCACTCCATGGCCCAGAAACAGAACGGAGCCATGAAGAAAGGCACGAAGTAAGGTGGCCTCCGGAAAGATGTCTGGAAGATGTTCGTTGCCAGGTAGCCTGCAGTACACAAACTGCAGGCATAGACTGCCACTGCGGTGACCTGCCAGTGATGTCTTCCCGTCGACATCAAACAAGCAAAACACAGGGCACTCATCGCCGTTAGCGCTCCGAAAGCATAGGCAACAAAGGCGATCTGCTCTGGACTCCACAAGGCCCATTGTCTGTTTCCGTGCATCAATACACAGAAGAAAACGCCCAGCGTCAGTAGAGACCAACTTGCCACCCGCAGGGAAAGTGGCCAGAAGTTCGGTGGTGGAGACGTGGCAGTATAGATTGACTTACCCCAGGTGTACGCCAGATAGGCCTCGAACGTACACCAAGCGCGAGTGTAGATGCTGTGCTTGTGGTTTGGGGCCGCCAGCACCTGCGATGCCGACTGCAGCGCCTTGGCGAACGGCGACTCTTCTGGGCTTTGGATCATCTCGCCAATGTCCAGGTTCTGAGGGTTGGAAAGAAAGCAGACGTACGCGGCTTTTGCTCCGAAGGGCCAGGAGTTGATGATCTGGTCCACGAACTCAAAGACGCCCTCGGCCCAGCCATGCGTGATGAAGAGATCGCACTTTAGGCCTCCGGGATGGAGCATCAGTGCCCAGCTGGGATTGCCGGCCAAAGCGGTCACGGGCTTGATGTACTGCGTGTTCACCGTGTGCATGGAGGGACCGATGCGACTGTCCGAGATGTCAAACGGATCTTGGTCCGTGGGCTTGATCACCCCGTTCGCGACCGCGTGACGAACCAGGCGCCGGAACTGTCTGAGATCCTCAAGGGTCACACACCACATGTGTTTCTCGACTGTTCTGTGAAGGCTCGCGCCGTCGCTTTCAAGCATCTTCCCCTCTGCAATGGACAGGTCTTCGCTCGTGAGGGGCTCGAGGTTCTTCGTGTAGCGGATGGTGAGCGTGGACGCAGAAACGCCAACGATGCCGAGGATCAGCAACAAGACAGAGAGGATGCCCACATAGCCGTCCTCGCCGCAACTTGTGTAGCCGTTGTCAGTGTCGCCTAAACAACACGTGAACTCATATCCACGGCCAGTGCTGGGGGACCAGCCTTCCTTGCCGACAGGGTAGTAGCCATCCAGGCAACGGCAAGGGTCGGCAGGTCTTCCCGCCACGCAGTTCCCCACCGCTGTACCGCTGTGACAGGCCCAAGGTGCTTCAGTGCCGTTGGGACACAGCGCAGCTGAGGTAAGGCGGATGTGCAAAGCCGCAGCCAGGAGCCGCTTTAGAGGTCCTCTCCTCTCGGAGTTCCAGCGACCCCTCCAAGTCATCGACGAGCCCAGCCGCACCTTCCAAACACCCTCATGCGAAAGGCAGTGCAAAGAATTCCCTCTGCCTACGACGTCATCCTCAGCCCGGAACTTCCGAGTACAAGCAAGGCTCAAAAGAAAGGAACGGTGACCGGCACATTGCCATGCGCTCCCGTTCTGAAGAAATACTGTGCAAACTGTAACATGGACCACTGTCGGCAGTCTTGTCACTTGCATTCGTGAACTGAGCTTGCAGCAGGGCCTTCGCTGGATGAGGAGATCTCTGAAGCAGTGGAACCTTGCGAAAGCACTGCAGTTTATGCATGCGCATGCACAAACACATGCGTCGCTACCAGCAGAAGTAGCAGCCGGAGAACAGAGAGCTCTTGTTGTGGTTGTCGTTGCTTTTGCTGTTGTTATTGTTGTTGTTGTTGTTGCTGTTGCTGTTGCTGTTGCTGTTGCGGTTGTTGTCGTTGCTGTTGTTGTTGCTTGCTGCCGCTCGGGCTGCTGCTCTGCTGCTGCTGGTGTTGGTCCTGACCTCCTGATGCCGCTCGTCGTTGGGATCGTCGGCGTTGTCGTCACTGGAACGGTTTCGCTGTTGTTGAAATTGCGGAGTTTGCTTTCGTGTCAACTGCTAGCCCTCGGCTTACTTGTTATGGCCAGCACAGTTTCAGGCTGGTCTCTTCGTGGTTTCTGTCTCTCTCTTTCGTTTTCCTTCGCCAGGGCGGCCAGGGTGGAGGGTTGTGCCCTCTCTCTCCCTCTGTTTTTCTTCGCATCGATCGTTCTCTCCCCCTTCGCTTAATTAATATGTTTCCGTTGCTGCTTATGTCTCTTCATTGCTCTGGCTCTTTCTGCCCCTCGATAGCTTTTGTGCTTACGAGAAAACCTGGTCGCATTGCAGTGCATTTTCGGAGGTTTGAAATCATATAGCTGCATGCAGTGCAAGAACGAGGTGGGGCCCCGCCCGGATCTCCTAGACACATTTCGATAAATGTGCACATAATTCCACCCTCCCCGCTTCAAACACCAAAATCGCAAAAAAACAAAAAAAAACACACACAAAAACGCACATAGTTCTCCCCTCCCAATCGAGCAAGTTTCGATAAATGTACATAATTCCACCCTCCCCACTTCAAACACCAAAATCGCAAAAAAACAAAAAAAACACAAAAAAACGCACATAGTTCCACCCTCCCAATCGAACAAATCTCGATAAATGTACATAAATCCGCCCTCCCCACTTCAAACACCAAAATCCAAAAAAACAAAAAAACACAAAAAAAAAAAATGCACCTAGTTTGCCCCTCCCAATCGAACAAATCTCGATAAGTGTGCACATAATTCCACACTCCCCACTTCAAACACCAAAATCCAGAGACTTGTAGTCATCAGGAAAAGCAGTGATGGCCCTCTGCAGGCGGCAGTTGCAGGCATTGGACCCACTTCCAGCTCGTCACAAGGGCAACTGGCTTCGTTTGACAACGGTCATGGTGATGTCGAATACAGCTGTTTCTGATGGTATGTGATGGTCATCACGGTGATCATGGCATGCTCGCATCAACCCTTTCCCTGCACGCGGCAGATGGATCACTGGCCTTTGAATGGAGTTCCATACAGCCCAAGCCGGCGCGGGCCTTCGCAGGACATTAGCAGTGACATGCAGCGATGCACTGCCAGAAGTCCAGAAGTCAGGGCATCCCTGTCTCAATCCTGTCTCCTTCTTCGCCGAGGCGCGTGAGGTGCCGCGAGTCGGTGCGAAGCCCAGGGCACCGCCTCCCCCCACGATGTCCGCAGGGTTCAGCCTGAAGACAGGACTGCAAGGCTTGGGAACCTTGAGGATGGGCCCCATCGTACCAAAGCAGCGCCTGCCGAGCTCGTCGCCAAAGGCACTCTCCTGAGACAGAATCAGAACGTTGTAGGTATGCAGAGGGCCTCAATGAAAATCAGCAAGAGCGCCGTTCGACGATAGCCGCTCCCTGCAGCAAGATCTACCTCGAAAATTGAAAAATAAGCTCAGTAATTCTTGCTCGGCCTGCTGCGTTCCGTTAGCAGGTGCCGACTCGCTAAGACGATGACCTACAGACGACCTAAAGGAACAAACTCCACTTCCCCACCTGCGGGACTCCTCCAAATCCCATCCTGCCAAGTTGCATGATGGCTTCGCCAAGTTCTCACACCGGGACGAAAGATCCTCGACATGGTGGTAAAGGCCTCGCCGCAGCGGAAGATGTCCTCGCCGGGCTCGAAGTAAACCTTTGGAGGTGAGGAAGCGGCCACAACGCAGCGTTGAGGCAGTTGGTGCCTGATGGCCCTGACAAGTATTGGTGTGCCGCAGTTCCTGGAATGACGGTGACGTTCGTGATGAAGGTGAAGACGTAGATAAACACGCTGGTGATGGTGGAGCTGATGATGGGGGTGATGCTGGTGCTGGTGGCGACGGTAGTGATGGCGATAAAGGTGACAAAAAGGTGGCGATGATTATGATGATGATGGTTGAAGAAGATTTGTACTTATGAAGACCATGACAAAGCAGCTGCGCTTGTCCTTGCGAACCCTCGTCGTTGACCGGAACCACTTCTACCTTGTGGTGCCTATCTTAAGGCTCCTACATGGTCTTAGAACTTCCTTTGTCTATTGCTTTGCTTACATAATCATTTGGCTCTTGTAACTGTTCAGAAAACCTTGTCCACATACGCTCAGAAACCGTACTAGTTACGAGCAGTCACGGCAACTGCTACACTTTTCATGCGACAAGCAATGGAACCTAAACGATCGCCAAGATGTTCAACTTGTACAGCACTGTTGCTAGTATGAGCCAGTAGCTACAGCAATGACACCAACAAGAGAAGCAACAACAGTCACACAGTCACACATGGTCAAAGCAGTGAGTGTAGCGCAGCACACGCCAACCAGAACACCTCGTCGGCTCGCTCGGAAACCACGGAAAGGAAGTCGAGCTGAAAAGCAGCCGCAACGCCAGCGCTGCTGAGAAAGGCTCAAGGCGCGTCGTGCAGAGAAGTGTTCTGTTTTAGGGGGATGGGATTTAGTGGGCCAACTCCGGATTTCAACATGGCGGGCTCAAAGCGCAAAATGTGCCTCTGAGCTTCCGGCATTGGAGAAAGCACGGCTCTTGCGCAGGTGCTCCTTGCACGCCGGCACTAACGAGCCACTTGCTGCTCACGTGTGTCACTCCTGTAGATCCAGTGCGCTCTTGCCGGGCTCGCTCTGTTCGGGGTAGGGATTCCTCCATCACCTGGAGCTTTTTCACGGCAAGAGCAGGCCCCGGGTTGGCGCCCTTGTCTGGAGTGATGATCCGAATCCTTCATTAGACTCTCAGGAACGAGGCAGGGCCGAACAGCACCAGAAGCGGTGGAACGTTAGAGATAGGACTTCGGATTTGGAAGGCGAAAGCTTACAGAAACCACGACACAGCTGCGACGGCAACAAGAAGACAAAGCAGGCAAGCGGTGCAAATGCTTGTGCAGCGGGTGTGTCTTTTCATGTTAACGTACGTGAACAAACCTCGGGTTGTGTATTTCGCTTTGGAGGCCACTTTTCACTTGGACATTCTTGGACGAATGTGGCAAACTGTTTCGGCACTTTGTCGTCTGCTTTAGTCTCTCCTTGCCACGTTTCTTAAAGCACCAGCTGCCCTGGCTATTGATTTGTCGTTCGAATGACAGGGATGAAAAAACGTCGCAACTATTTGCCTCTGACATTCGGTGCATGCAGTCCGGCAACAGGTACACTGAGGAGCAAGCAGAACGCCGGCCGCTGCAGCAAAGAAAGAGCTCAACAAAAAGTGCATAACAGAACTCCGGTAGGGATGTCATCATCACCTCGTCAGCCAACTCCCCCACCCCATCTCTTTACCCAGCAAGTGACATAAGGACATAACACAGATCCACGCAACGAACGCTGCAATCACCAGACAAGACACCAACGCAAAAGCAACGTGTCGCTGAGAGGAGGAAGACTGAACTTGCGGTCATGGAAGCGCGATGGTGAAGCAAGAGCAAGAAAATGCGAAAAGAAAAGGATCAACGACATACTGATAGGCTGATAGGGTTCATGGAACCAGGCTGGGAGTGGCACCTATACTGGCATGGACTAGGATAGATGGTTCATGGTTCGTGGTAGGAGAGAGTTGCAGAAGTGTGCTGCCGAAGATGACATCGAATGCGAGAACTGCAAAGAGCATTGAGCACTCAACCGCACCAACCGGCCGCATGTTCGCGAAGCAGACAGAAAGGATCGCTTGAACGGTCAAGCAAGTCACCTCTTTGACGTAGCGGTGATTGACGAAGACTTCGGCCGACCCTCCTTTGATGATGTACCTCGGTCTATGGAAGCTTTGAGCTTCTTTCGCTTGCCGGAAGATGACTGGAGTGCCTTTCAGAAAAGCCGAGCTGCATGGAGCCCGAACGTTGATCGTCTGACCAATCTTGTAGGTCACAGTACGGATGCAGCCTGCCCGAGTCCCAGAAACAAGGTGGATGAGGACTCGCGTGGTGGGTCAAGTTCCGAAAGTCTTTTGACGGCTCTAGGCCGTTTTGAAAGCTGGAGGGTGCTTTAGGACATTGTAGGAGTTAGGGCTGAGAAGCGGGCGGGAGGCTCAGTGCAACTGCGGCATTACATCCGTCTGGCTTCGTGTTCTCCTGCGGCGGCAATGGTCCATCTTGAACTTGCGAACTAGGAACTCAGCCCGCTCTGCAAACCGAGCGGCGTGTAAAGTCTTTGCAGGAACCAGAAGAATTCATTAGATGTGTCCAGGATGCTGCAAGATGCTAGATGCACCGTGCGGCTTCGGCTTCGTGTGCCTTCACGAGGCAAAATCTCTGCTGCTCGGAGGAGTAATTGTCCAGGATATTGTTGAAAGACTGCCTGCAGCACTGCGGCTGAGGGCGGCAACGCTCTTCACCGCAGAGCTGCCTCGGGATGAAGAGGAGCAGGGCCAAGGGTGTGGCAATCCTGAAGTTGCGTCTGGCCATATGGACGGCATGTTGAAGAACCTGCACAAGGCCAAAGACAAGCTGCAAGCTGGATCCGGAGTGAAATCAACGGCTTTCGCTGTGGGAGTCCACTGCCACCGGAGTCTGGACATCGTATCCTACATTCAAAACGGCTACGACCCTCAACCCCGGAGCCTTCGTTCCCCCAGCACCGTGCCCAACTCGACGCCACAACCGCCTCTGACGGACAGCACATGCAGAGCTGCGGAAGGGTTGTGGCTTCAAACTCTGCTGACCGCTTCTAGGCTTAGCTAGATTTTGACCACAAACTTCGGTCGGAGCGCAGAGAAGCCTTGAGTCATCTTGACCGGTCGTGACAAGGTCTCAAATTCTGCCCGAGAGACTCTCGCGCGCCGTTCGACGAGGCATAGGAGTTCAAACTTTTGACACGGATAAGCAGATAGATTGATAGATGGATATGACAGCTGGAGATGTGGCACTCGCCTGTAGGCTGTTTGCAATTCGAAGAGGCCCAACACACACCGCAAATGAAGTCCGTCCAAGTGTGTGTTTGTGTGTGCGGACATGTCATGTTGCAACCTTTCTTTGAATGACGAAGGCAAGCCTTGACTTTAACCCGTTTGCGCCGAGCCCTCTTGGTTCAAACGGCGGAACAATATATAGTTAAGGGGGCACTTATG